TGACTATAAAAGTGAGTAATAAAGCCGTTTGATGCTAATTGTTATGACTTGGTATATTTACATGGGTGTAGTAACACTAATTTTCATCTTGATATTGATGTCACATACCACAAGCACCATATATAGGTATGAATCATTACATGACTACAAAGCATGACAAAGAAGGAGAATCTCCCATTAAGCAACTTCTTACTCAGATTAGCAAAAATTGTATGAATTAAGGTTCTTTTTTTTGGTCTGAAAGAATGGTCTTATATTAAGCAAGAGAGAACATTTGTATATATCTATCCCCATTAAGTAAAAAAGAACCAAGTACCAAGGGGTTCTGTCTTTTTGACTTAATCTACACATAATGACATAACGGGTTAAACCTAAAAATTTGGTTTAATGTATTAATAAGCTAGCCCTAATAACTATTTGTTCCTTTCTTAGTTTTTCCTACCAACTAAAAGTTAAAACTGATGAATATTGTGAAAACTGATTTTGGAATATAAGGGTTAAATGGTCATTTAATACATTCCAAAAAAGAAAGAGACCTTGATGCATTAGGTTATCCAAAAATCATCATTACCCCTTCAACCATTATACCCCTACATGGATTAATTGGGAGAAAAGAAAAAAAAAAAAAAAAAAAAAAGAAACAAACCCCAATTTATTAGTCCAGCCATTACAAATCGAATTATTGGAAGGTTCTTCACAACTTTTAGTCCAAGAACTTGAAAGTTATTAGCTCATTCATATTGCTTTTCAATATGCATGTTAAGTAATGAAGTATAGAGGTGTAAAGACTAATAAAGAAAAGGGGTCAGAATCAGATGGGAAGGTTTTAGCAACAACTTAGTTAATCTTCATTTGTTCAGATTTCAAACCATAAAAAAGATTTTAAAAAAATTGATTTGGATTGTCACGATTAAAGATTGGAACATCGAACCATATGTACTTTATAGAATTCTTAATGTTTCATCTTGATTTATTGGCCTCTAACTGCATGTTGATGTTCCCTCTTGCTTTTTACTATTATGACCTCAAAAATCTACAAAAATGTTATTATTAAGTTTATAGAGGATGATTAAGGAATAGAATTAGTGTGTCATTGTTTTGGATTTCTTTGATTGAAACTTACATTTTATCATTTTATTATCTTTTTTTGTAGAGTTATTCTCAAGACACTCATTCTTTGAAAGCTATGGTTTATAATGGATCGCTGGAAAGAATGCAGTCAATGCAAGAAATACCCATACATTTGATGGTCCATCCAAAAAGCATACCAACATCCGTCAACCCGACCAACGGGTGGGTATGACACTAGTTATATTTATGACTAATTTATATCAGTTAATATATAATTTTTTATTTACATTTAAATTGTAACTAGTTATTTAAAACAAACCAAAAATGTAGATCTAAAATAAAAGACACAAAATATAATTGAAATTTTGCTTCAATTTTAGTGTAAATAAATAATATAACATCTAGTGTTCATGTGTTATACAATTTATTTATACCTACCGCGGTGATAAAAATGGAAATAAGTTGGAATGGATGATAGTAGTACCAAAATAAGGTAAAAAACAAAGGTGCTAAACAAGATTCTATCATACATTGGGATAATTATACCCTTTATTTTACATTGGGATTTATCATATACAACAATTTTTTAAGGATAGACAATTATACCCTTAACCCTTTCTTTATTTTACATTGGGATTTTCTAATATACGTCCATTAAGACACATATAAGAAACATTAATTACGAAAAATATTATCATAATTAAAAATAAAATCTATTTATTATGAAAATTATTAATGTATCTCACATTTAATTATGATAATAATCTTTATAATTAATATATTTCATATTTAATTATGATAATATTTGTTAGAGAAAGATGACAAAAATAGCCATTTACACTAATGACATTACAAAAATAGCCAAAAAAATCGAAATTACAAAATTAGCTAATGATTTCACAGATGGAGATGCCTCATCTGTGAAATGAGCATCTCATCTGCGAATGTACAAGCACCTAAATCACAGCTGTGCTTTAGGTGCTTGTACATTCGCAGGTGCTTTTAATTTTTTTTTTAATTTTTTTCTGTATATATAGGGGTAAAATCGCAGATGGAATAGGTCCCTCTGCGATTTACTCTCACTCTATCTGCGAAATTGTGGTTTTTTTTTTTGTATTTTTTTTTAGTTTGACTATGAAATGAATTGGTTTGACTACGAAATCATGTTGGTATATAAAAAGTTTTGTAGATTGTTTTACTTTCTCAGTCAAACTAATTCATTTAGTAGTCAAACTAAAAAAAATATATACAAAAAAAAAACCACAATTTCGCAGATAGAGTGAGACTAAATCGCAGATGGACCTATTCCATCTGCGATTTTACCCCTATATATACAGAAAAAAAAAATTAAAAGCACCTGCGAATGTACAAGCATCTAAAGCACAACTGTGCTTTAGGTGCTTGTACATTCTCAGATGAGATGCTCATTTCACAGATGGGACATCTCTATCTGTGAAATCTTTGGCTAATTTTGTAATTTCGATTTTTTTTAACTATTTTTGTAATGCCATTAATATAAATGGCTATTTTTATCATTTTCTCTGTTTGTTATAATTAATCTGTTTTACATTTTATATTCTGCTTTCTAAAACCCTTCTCCACTTGTCATCACAATCAGTTAGGAACCTTCGCCCAAAAAAAAAGATACGGCCGTCGCTTCCACCATCGCCCACTGCGCTTGCTTTACTCTAGTCGCCGCCTCCGGCTTCTCCACCACCGTCGCCACCTCTGGCTGACTCCACCGCCGTCGCCCACCACGCATCATTACAGGTACACGCTAATGTCTTGTACAATTTCAATTTTGTTTCTAGTTTTTGATTGTTTCCTGTACAAACATGTATCAATGTGTGTATTAACCGGTTTGCAAAATCACTGAATTGGAATTGTGTGTATTATTGATCATAATCGTTAGGTATCAATGGAGAAATTTGGGGTTTTCAATGAAGACTGAAAGTGGCTGCTATTGGAGAGCCTTAGGTGCTCTGTTGCAGCGAAGAAGACAGCTTCTGGTTTCAGTTTATTTATCAGACGACATTGGCCTCATGTTTGTTATTACGAACTTTCCCCAACAAAAATTCAAAATTCTTCATTCATTGCCCTGAAAGTCGCAAATCGTTTTCCTTTTTTCAGGTAACTGCTGTTTCTTCTGTTCGTTATCTAGGTTACGCTCCTGGTCTATTAATGGTAGGACTCTTCACCATTTTAATCCTATGGATGTATGCTAACTTTTGGATAGCTGGCCCTTTGTGATGCATTGAAATTTATGCTCCAATGGTGTGATGATTTGGGTGAAAAGAGTGAAAGGACACAGTTTGAAGAACCAAAGGTTCCAGAGTCGTTTCATGAAGATGACAATTACAGAGAGCAACTTCTGTGGTCATGGTGTGGAAGATGAACAGGTCAGAACCCATGAAAATGAAGTCAATGAAATGGAAAGAGTTATTGTGAAGTAGAATATGTCACATGTTTGATATTTTTTTAAGTTTATAACATGACAAAAAATATAGAGGTAAAAATATATTTTTTTAGTGATATGTAAAGTTTGGTAAAATAGGAAAAAGGGTAATATTGTCTAATCATTAGAAATTGTTACGAATGAATGGCAAAATTTTGTTGTGCAAGGCCCAAACCATGTGTGCCATAATTTAATATTTATTTATTTATTTTGTATGTTTCCATTAAATTTTGAGATAAGTTAGGTAAGATTTTTTTGTGTTTTTTTTTTTGTCTTTTTCTATATTTTTTTTTATTATCTTATATGTATATAAATATATAATATGATCTGGAATTTTTATAAAATAGCAATCTAAGTGTGTTTAAACTAAAACAAGATTGTGAACTATTATAAACAAAACATAGTTCGGGATTTGCTTAATATCTTACAACATCATTGATCCTTAAGATCTAATCAGGATTGAAAGATAGGAAAAAGATGAACTAGTCTTTAAATTTATCATCAAGATCTTGTTTATCTAGTACTCATTATAACTTAATGTTTTTAGCAGATAAAGAAACAAGATAAGTATGATCATATATAACTAAAAGACATAAAATCAAAAAACGAATAATATGAGTGCATGATGATCTATTTAATTAGGGATGAATGGATCAAGTGATGAATGTTTGAATTCAACTGAAGCGGACAATTTTTTTTTAGATTCGCTTATATAATAAATACTAAACATGTTGCATCATATTACGATCTTAAAATCCTAATTGAAATACTAATATCCGATTACAGATTTTGCTTAAGATAGTCATTACCACTAACGTAATCTGGATTGTTTTTCGTTGGGAGGACCTTTAGATCAAAATCTTAACAATTATATATATTAAACTCATTTATTTTCTGTACTTATTTGTAATTTATAAAAGTTTACAATAAAACAATGTGGTCTTTCATTTTATTTTATTTTCAACATAAATACTCTGAAAAATTCAAAGTAATAACGCAATCAACAAACAAACCAAAATTTGATCGAATACATTTAAAGCTCAAACTCAACTCGGGTTTGTTTGTCGACTGTTGTCAAACTCAGGTACAAAAAGCAAGCTCCAAACCTACAACTACAGCTTATAAAGAATTCAACTGAATTCTCATTGTATGTTTCAACATTTTCTTGATCGAGAATCCGAATCACATTTGCTTTATAATAAAACATAGATCTTTTCAGCCCATTTGCAACCCTTGTTAAAACCAGAAAAACATGTAAAAGTAAAACTCCTACATAAATAAGTGACAGAAAAAACCATTAAGTGCTTATGAGATTCAGATTCAGTACTACTTACTAAATACTAAATACTAAAATACTAATTCAACCAAAAGAAAAACAGATAATCAATCTATTTCCACCCTTGAAATTTCTAAAAACAAAACACCAAACCAAAACCTAATTACTTCTTCACCCTCTCAAGAACCTCCATTATCACCCCTTCCAATCTCCCCTTCACTTCTCCACTCATTTCATCATCTTCACACCCATTCACCATCTCCCTCATCTCCTCAATCTTCCTCTTCACAAACCCAACATCCGATTCCTCCACCTCCGGGTCGGGTTTAACTTCAGATCTGTTTTCAAAAATGGAGCTCCGGAAGGACGAAACGAACCGGGTCACAGCCCCAAGCTTTTTCTTCTCCACAGAACCCGAAGGATCAAGCGCTGCAAGTAACAACCCATTCAAAACCTTGTCGACATTCACATTACCATCAATTACGATTTTACCCTCCTGATCATCAGATCCTTCACGCACACGTCTCTTCTGACGAGGCTTCCTTCTAGAAGAAGAAGACTCCTCAACCTGCTTATCAGTAGCTTCAGAATCTTTTTCTTTTTCTTTTTCCTTTTCTTTTTCCTTTTCCTTTTCCTTTTCCTTTTCCTTTTCAGGTTCGGGTTTTGGTTCTTTGAAAGAACCAGAACCAGAACCAGAACCCGAACCTGACAGCTTCCCACTCCAAACCGGACTCAAATACGGCGGCGACAAATACTTGCTTTTCTTCCTCTGGCGCGGCGAACACATCGAGTCCTCCTCCCCACCGCCGCCACCACCGCCGCCGTCACTTTCCGGCGACTCCGGCACCACCACTACCAGCGCCGCCTTGCGTTTCCTCCCGGAACCACCACTGTCTTTCACCGGTTTCGCTTTCTTCATCTTTGGCGGCTCATCTTCGACGCTCAAAAGCTCCGCCACGCTTTTCTGTTTCCTTTTTTGATACAATTTATCATCACCATTCTCTCCACATTCCGACGGCCCGTTTACTTCGGAATCGTTGATTCCGATCCTCGACTTGTCTTCAAGCCCTTCAATACACATCGGATCATGGTATTCTGGAAGCAAGTAACCACCCTTTTGTAAATAAAACGCACCCAACCAGCTTTTAACCACGGTTAGTTCGAGTTCAAGCTCAATCATTTTCAAACCAGGGTCAATAGTTGCATACGTTTCCAACTTCAAAAGAAGCTCAATCGGGTTCATTCGATCGATCAAAACCCTAATTGTGTTCCCTTTTGGGACCTCCACACCGGGCTTGATCCCACTGTTCGCCATGTCAGCACTGGGAACCCGGGCAGCACGGTCAACAGTTTGACATTTACTGGTCAGTTCCGATTCGACAAGATGGTTAACCACTTTGAGAGCGGTTCGAACCGCATGTACAAACTTCTTGGAGTCGCTTTGATTTGACATTTCTTCAAAGTGATCGATGAATGGTTTTAATTGAGAAGGTGAACACCATGAAAATGATCCATCACCAAAATAAGCAACTAAGAGATGACCTTTTCTTTTTATAGAGTTTGCATAATCTGATGCGTTTGATGGGTCGTATATTTGACCCGGCCACCATGGGTGAGACTTGATTTTGCCCCATACAAAATCACCCACCACAAAATCATGTTCTTCTTCTTCACTTTCATTGTTTTCTGCTAATTTGGTTCCATTTTCAAGATTTCCTTCATTGTTCTTGTCTTCGTTCATATCATCTGTGAATTCAAAGACAGCTGCAATGTTTTCGGGTTTTTTCTTTTTCTGATCGGGTAAACAGACATCCATCAGATCTTCACCAGCAACCAACTTCTCATCAGTGAAATTTACGTTTATACCCTCGTTACCATCAAACAAATTATCAAAAACACCTTCTTTCTCCTTTTCTTTAGCCTCATTGTTGTAATCTATGTTCATACCTTCATCACCATCAAACAAATGATCAAAAGCCCCTTCTTTCTCACTCTCTTTAACCTCGTTGTTGTTCTCTGTTTTCTCTGTAACAGAGTGGCTGAAAGATTCTCCTTCTTGAAACATGACGATGTCATCTTTATTTTCTTGAACTACCTTGACGATAGTCACCTCAGTCTTTTCAACGACCGTCGTAACAACGACCTCACCGCCGCTGCTGCCGTTTTTCGACCCCAAGTCGCCACCGAATATTTCCTCCGGAGTTGGTTTCGAGGTTTTATGAGGTGGGGCGGGTGGCTGAGAAGATGAAGAAAGCCCACCTAGGGTTTCAGTTGTTAAGTTGTTACCTTCCATGGTTTCCATTTCTAGAAACAAAATAAACAAAACCCGTCAAGAGTTAGTGATTTACCCTACAGCTTCGGAGAAGAAACCAATTACAAACAAGCTAAAGAAGAAAAACAGACAAAACTCGAAAGTATAGGAAATGATTCCATATTTCCATCAGTCGAAAAAGGAAAACCCACTTTTAGGGTTTTGAAAACCGCCATTGACAACAAAAGCTTGCTATTAGTTAAAACTCCTCAAACCCCACTGACAAACCCACTAAAAATTAACGAAACCGACACAAAATCCATACGGGTTTTGCACAATTTTCATGGAAACATACACAGAACCCTAAATCTACACACACAAATCGAATCAAAATATCAGAGAAAAGGAATACCTGTAGGAAAGCAGAATCTTTAGACCATGAAAGAAGCTGTATCGAGTTTGAGTGATATTTTTTTTGAATTAATCGCTATCAAAGTAGGTGGGGTTTTATTACCCTGTTGAAACTTTGATTAAAACTGAAAAAACAAACAAACAGATACTGATTTTAAGAAATTGGGGAAAAATGAAGAGGATAATCGTGTTATAGCAAAGGTGAAGGGGGAAGCTGTCTGTGAAAAGATGAGGGATTTGTTAGAGTCACAAAGCGGTGAGATTTGTAATGGCACAGCACGTTGTGGTAAAGGGTTACTGGTAAGGCCTGAAGAGGGCAGACTAGGGTTTATGCCACCCTTCATATCGCTACACGTATGTATTGTCTTGAATTAAAAAAAAAAAACATACGGATGGCATTCGTTTGTTAACCATCAATTTCATAAATCTTTTTTAACAGGGTTAACTAGGAATTTTATAAAAAAGTTTTTAATTTTGTTCGGTTTTTTAGGGTTTTTTTATATATATTAGGTGTAACATCTATGTATTACATGAATTTATTTAAAATAAAAATTAAATATAAAATTTTAAACATTTAAGAAGTTTGAATTTATAAGAAAAAAATATATATTGAATTATAAGAATTAAAATGTTTTTTTCTCTTTTAAATTCAAACAAATAATTTAGATAAGTAAATAAAATAAATTAATAAAACTTTAACTTGGTAATTTTGAAATTAAAAGGAAAGTTCATTAATAAAATTGATATGCATTTATTAGTACATTTTATATTATATGAATTTTAATAAAATAGAAAAAACCATAAAATAACATGTAGAATAAAAATTAATTTAAAATTACCACAAAATTATATGTAGCAAAATGAATAAGAATATAAAATGTGGTAAAAATATCTTTATTTATTAAAGTAGATTATATCAATGTAAATATTATAATCGTTTAAAGATTGTAATAAAGTTTTAATTTTATTCACGTTAAGTCTCTAACATATTTTTTATATATATCAAACTAACATGGTTATTATAACCATTTAAATAGGGTAATAAGATTTTAATTTTGTCCACATTAGGTCTTTATTTTTAATATTTTCATCATTTTATTTAATTCTTTTACAATTTATATTAGTATTTATTTAAATGACTTTATCATTTCGTCTTCTCATTTTAGTCATTCATTCACCACAACCAACGGTTTCAAATGAAAGGTTACATAACAATATTTTTTTTGTCATTTTTACCAAAAAAAAAAAAAAAAAAAAAAAAAAAAAAAAAAAACTAATAATAATCAAAGTCTTAATGATTAAGGTTATGTTTGGCGTGCCACAGTTAGCTGATAAGCTAGCTTATTTTTCGATCTTTTTTAAGTTGTCATGTTTGGCAAACCAAAAAGTAACTTATAAACTAACATTTTAAAAGGCTACTTAGACTAGATTTTTAAAAGTTTTTTTTTTTTTTAATTTTCCAAATATACCTCTTAATTAATTATTAAAAAAAAAAAATTAATGTCCTTTTATGTCATTATATATATTTCAGATATCTTATCAATTAGTGGCAGAGTCAGGGTCAAAGTAAAGGAGTATCGCCAACAAGTAATGGGGTATCCCCGATAAGTAAATAGGCATCCCCAAGCCATTCTGGGGTGCTGACCTACCCATGTCAAGCCATTCTGGGGTGCTGACTTACCTATGTCAGGTCGTTCTAGGGTGCCAAATACCCTCCAGTCTATCTCAACCGGCAACGAGGATTATTTCACCTATACCTCTATCATACAATAACAAATATAATCATACGGTCAGGCATATCTGGGGTACTAACCTACCCTTCGGTCCTAACGACCGAGTCAGGAAAAAACTATTCCCTGCTACTACCACTTACTTATATAGCACATCACATAAGCATATCTCATAAGCATACCACGTAAGCATATTTCATAAGCATATCACATAAGCATATCTCATAAGCATATCACATAAGCATACCAAGATAATTGTTACAAAGACAATTATCTATCAATTACTTTTGTTGGTGGACCGACATTGTGGCCTTAGATCCACCCCTACTGGAAGGTAACTCACCTCGATGTCGTGTAGTGTCTGAATGATCCTCAACGTACAACTCAACTCTTATTGACTCCTTAATCTCTACACTACAACCCTCCTAAGTTATTAATTTGAATATGCAACCCTAACCAGTGTCAACTCAATTAAATCAAAGTCAACTTTGGTCAAAGTCAACATCCAGTTGACTTGACTCGCCGAGTTGGTCTACCAACTCATCGAGTCCATATCCCACTAACACGGATCAATCCTCGACTCCACTCGTCGAGTTTAGCAAGAACTCGACGGGTTCTCCTTCAATCATACCATCGGGACCATCTTCATCCGACTCGCCGAGTTCATCCTTGAACTTATCGAGTTCATCTCCCTCATAAGAATTCATCCAGTCCATGACTTTTCGAGTCGTAAGAACAACTCGTCGAGTCCATCTTCAAAGATTGGGAGATTGCCTTGGACTCGTTGAGTCTGTTCATAGACTCATCGAGTCCTATGATTTCCAGGTCCAAAACAAGTCCTTAGCAGGCTGAGTGTTCCTTCCACTCAACCAAACCATTTCCAGAAGATGATTTTTGGGGAAAAAGTGTCCCGACTCGCCAAGTCACCCAAGTGACTCGTCGAGTTCCTCTTTGTCCACCACTATACAATCGATTATAATGGGTCTTAACACATCAAAACTATAGATCTGGCCTCCTAGGGCCCTTTTTTCACGTAAAGGTAAAAACTTGATGTCCATGGATGGGTATTTAATCTCAAAAGACCCAAAAATAAGGTCTACAAGGTGCATGGGCCTCTCATGGCCATAAAGTTTGCACCTTTATGCCACGAGGACCCTTCAAGACCCAAGATCTGAAGCCTTTACCCCTCACTAAGCTCTGGAACCCGAAATAGCTTAGAAATGTCCCAATGTCACACCCCAAAACCAGAACGGTGGAAATGTTCTGGGGTGGAGAACGTCATGTCAAGTATCACAACATATGCAGTATAGTAATCAAAGTACAACAACCATTGCATTAATAGTAATAGTTTTACATAGGTTACATTTCATAGCAACATCAAAGTAAATACATAACATAACATAGATGTAGCTTGGTACTAGGTTGTCTTCGCAAAATCTCCCGAGATGTACCTCTCTATTGATGACCTGAGAATACAAGTTATTTTGAAAGCGAGTATCAGCATTTGTATAATGATGGCGAGTCCATAAGTATTTAGTGTCAGTTGCAGAAAGCGTGTGTTCTTGTATAACCCATCGACTAACACCTAGACTGGTGTCGAGTCTAAAATCTCTCCGGGATCTGGGTTATAAGGCTTAACGCAACCTACTTTCGTACTTTATTCAAGTATTCATGGCTGCGGAGGTTATCATGTGGTTCTTGGCATTCTAGTATTCACTTCGGAGAATGCATTCTATCGTCTACAGGGCGATGGTGACTTCTTCCACGTGAGGATGTGGAGTGTCCCATGCACTACTCGTTAGTAATGAGGTGGACGAAGTGCCTGAGTAGTGCGATCATTTTCTGCGACTACTCTTCTGGTGGTTCTGAGTTTCCTCAATTTAGATTAAGTCTAGAAGTATAGGGTTCTGTCACTCGGAACTTCTAATTTCCTCATCCACTTTTCTCAGAGTTTAACTTATTGTGGCTTCCAGGTTTCCGGGATATCTGCTGAGATGCTTAATTCGTGGTATTAAGCGTGGATGGATGGTCGTAGTCAATGTTTTGACTCCTTCGACTCGGGTTTCTTTACTAACTGAGGGTGTTAGCTACTGTGTTGGCTTAACTGGGATGACAACAATTTTTGGATTTGTGGTCATTCTAGTAGTTCAACCCACAGCGGTTATCTTGACTCCAACTCATATTCTATGGGATAGGATGAAGGATTTTATCACAAGGTTCGTGGTAGAGCTCATACTTGGCTTAATCGCTAATACTTGGTGTACGCAAGCCGTATATAATTGAGATCGACGGAACGTTCAACTGTGTGGCCCCACCCCAGACCCACAACCCAACGAGGCACAGGAAGTAGGGAGGAAGCACACATCTTAAATCGTATTGATCTAAATTATGTATCAGTCTAATGCATGTACTTAGTAGTAGCAAGTTAATCCCATGAGTTTCTTTCCTTGATTCTCGAATCTGATTGTGAGGTGATAAGGGTCGTTCTGGGGGATCTACGGAGTAGGTTTCGAGTGGTTATCGTCTTCTGGAATACCTGCAGTGTCTTTCGCTTCGGGTTCTATTTGTCTAAGGAGGGGTTGGTTAACAGTGCACGGTACCCTTCTCCTGGGTATTTCGGAAGGTTTTAGATAAGAGAGACAACTGACGGATCGCATTAGGTTTTATTATTAGGTTCGGAAGAACCTTTATTTGTCGAAATGGCTACGGTGAAAGTTTTTTTACACAGCACTAGGAATTTACATATAGTTACACGAAATCGAACCATGATTGATAGAGGCGTCGAAGTTGGCATACATCGACATGATATAGAATGAGGGTCGATATGGCCATGTGCTGAACGGGCACACAAGCTCTTAGCGTCTCGAGTTTCGTCCCGTGTATCACTGTCGTAGATACTTAGACTGATAGAGTTGACACGGAACTATAGAGGGTCCTGAGGTTTCGGAATAATGTACTTTTCATGAATGGATTTCTCACGAGGCCTTTCTATAATCTCCTAACATACACTAGTCATGTATAATTAAGGTGGGAAGGATTGTTGAGTGAGCGACTCTGCCCTAAATCCACAACCAAATGAGAAACAGGAAATAAGGCAGCAACACTCACTTGAGTTTTACCCATCTTAATTATACATGGCTTTAACGTATATATCGAGCCATTATAGCTTTACATGATGAAATTTTAAATTTTACAACAGTGTTGCGACTTTCGGCTTAACGGGAGAGTATTTACATTTAGAATTAGCCTTTTAGTGTTTCCAGTTAGTTATCTAGGATTGAGAGACGTACCAAAATTTCTACCAGCTTCTTTGATGCTTCTCCCTAGGTATTAGAGTTAGACTCCTCCTGTGCCTTTGCCGTTCCTTTCAGTTGGACAGTCCCGCTTGAAGTGCCCAAGCTCACCACATAAATGGCATACTGGATTGGTCACCACATTGGTGGTTGATGTAATGAACTTAACCGGGGTTCTGCAGGTACGAGCGGTATGCCCCTTATTGTTGCACCTAGTGCAAAAGAATTCTCGACAAATACCATGATGATGGTAGCTACACTTGCTGCAGCGGGGAAGGCTTCCTAGGTTTGGCCTTCTAGGTGTCACGATGGAAGGGTTGA